CTTTTTTAAATGTTGAAAAATATTACATAAATACTAGACGTAAGTCGAAAGGAAAGTTGTATCTGAGGGCTGACTGTAGTGTAGTTCATACAACAGATGCAAACGATTGGGATTTTGTGTTCACCTGATGCTAAAACTGATGCTTAGACTGGACTCTAGTCTCTGCGGTTTTAATGGGAAGTAACGGACTGTTTGTGTGTCGGGGTATGGGTTGGGAGTGGAAGTTGAAGTCATTTCACTGTTTTCACGCCTAATTGAAAGTGCCTTTCGTTTGAAAAGCAATTCATTATTCACTTCACTCTCTAGTTATGGGTTATGGGGTTAAAGGCTATAAACTTCATGTATGTTTGAATTTATATATACCCTGCTCTCTCTCTCTCTCTCTCTCGCAAACACTTTATTTGTTAGTATAATACTCTTTGTTATGTTTGTCTAAATCATAACTAGATTTTATATTTAACACTATACTCGTATAATAAGTTACACAGTGGTGCACCTAGTTAATTAAATTTGATTCTCATATTAAAAACACTCGGATGTGCACTGTTATTTATGATACTAATGGCCAGTCGTATTTAGTCTACAAATTCTGTGAATGACTGACTTGAATGAGACAGTAATTTATATATACTTGGTAAACACATTTGATGAAAATAAAATTATTTGACTTAAAATTATATATAAAAATCACTCAAAACTATCGCAGAATAACAAACATTTGGTGCAAAAAAAATAATCAAACACTTAATTCATTTGCACAATAATTCATACAAAATCTTATGTTATTATAATACAAAACATGACACATCTTGGTATATTATGATTACTACACATTTATCTCTGGTTTTATTACCGCAATTAACAGCACTTTTATTGCCATGAATTAAAACCTTCAGACCTTTTCATCAAAAAACAATAATAGTTATGTATATATTATATATTAGGAGGTATTGTGTGGTTAGCCTAACAAATGTTTAACTGTAATAGAAAACCGGAAATATGGCACTCAGACCATCCAAACGCCTTAAAACCAATAACTCATACAATGGGCTATGAGTTGTCTTTTGGGTTTTGGTTCAGAGTTTGGCACAAAAAACATAAAAATGAGCCCAAAGTTTGCCTACATTTTTACGCCACAAGACATAACCCGAAAGAAATGCTATCTAAAAAACTTTTAGCTAGCAATCAGACATAACTCTTATAGTTTACGATATACCTGTCCCCTTGGCATACAAGCCCTATCTCGCAGACACCTAACAATTCAGTCGCTAATCATTTATTGATATTTAGATATTTGCTTAAAGTTTTTTCTCCCTGGGCATAGCCATACAGACATAGCGTACAGAGTTTTAGTCGACAAACCGATTTAACATAACATTTATTGTCAGTCTATTTGTGTTGAAAAATACCAGAAATTCTTTCGCAAAGAATTTAATACTAGTTTACGATTAGACACTGAAATCGATACCAATGTCTCAATACATAAGACATTAGTTGCACTCAAAAACACACATATCATTAATAACATCTAGCTATGTTTTATTAGTATAACTTATGTTTCACCCAAAAATATTAGTTAACAACTGATAAAAACATACAGATATATTGAATACTGAAATATTACATATAAGTTAGCTAGGAAATCATATACGCCACGCATTTAGAGTGAAATAAAATGCATAAATTGAAAAATTATACTCAAATTAGACATTACACTGATATCGACCGTACAAATAGGGAAAGGGATTACAAACACATCGAGAAGTCCTACTCAGACAAACTTTAAGTGCCGAATAAACGCAATTATTGCTCACGAATAACTGCCCTTTGTTATTGAGAATGTCAGTAGACATTATTATTGAAGCCTGAATAATAGATTTATATGACAATATAATCAATTGTTATCACAAGTAGGGCTATAGAAAATGTACTTGTATAGATTTGTATGGCCCTATGCCTAGTATACATTTGTCAGTCGCGTGTATAGACTAACACTATATGAGAAACTTCATTGAAGAGCACTCGTATGTCCGACACACAAATCAGATCATTATTTATACGCATAATTATGAGGCACTCCCGGCGCTCGTCGATGTTATATAACAGTGTGGTGTGTAGGGCTTCGGTAGTGCTTTTTATAAGGGCTGAGCCCTCGCATTCACTATCAATTAGCGGCGATTCCTATGAATATATCGCGTAAAAGGCTTTCAGTTTTTTTGGGTTAGATCTGTCTGTTTCTCACCGAAAAGTTTTGCTTTTCATTTGAATTTACTGTTTTTGTTCACAATTATAATGAAAATCTGATTCACACACTACCAGTTGATTTGTATTCATACAAGTCTATTGATTTCCTATTGAAATGACTTTGATCAATTTGCGGGTTAATTGCATGATTATATATAGTGTTTGTTAATAATGTGTGTGTATTAAAATTAAGATTTTAGCATGCTTGCATTTTAATTTGCAAATATTTTTTATATTTTATTAAAATATACATACAAGTGTTTTGACCCTGGGGTAATATCACTATAAACTACTCGTTAATATTAAAAAACACTAAATGTCTGTATATTTCTATCAAATATACTATTTTTTATCACAGAATCTAATGACCAGAATATGTGTTGAATTCATTTCCTATGATAGGAATTCCTATCGTATGTAAAACAGTAGCAGTGCTTCACTTATATATATGAATACTACCAGTGCTTCACATCAAAAAAATGTTATTTAAAGGCGATGCGGGAATGGGATGTGTATGTATGGGCTCGATGTGAGCACAGTCTGTTTGATCCCTATTGTGTTTTGTTAGAGGCTATGAAAAGCCGTGTATTTTCTTTATACACATAATGTGTAACCTCTGGGGAGGGCTTACTATACTGTCGGCACAATTATGTAGGCTTTTGTCAAATAAAATATATCTAACATTAACTAGACTTCACTTTTAAGTTACTCTGAATTGCATTGAATTTGTGTGTTTATTGTGTATGGCTAACATTTTGTGTATTCATGTGTAACTAGGTGTTTTTTAGTGATTTATTGATACCTGGTATATGCACTAAAAGCATGTAATTTGAGTAATTAATTGAATTTATTATTATATGATTTCATGTATAGCTACCGATGACTACATACTAGAAGTTTCTAATCAAAAACTATTGCATTATTTCTAGAAATTGTCAATTTCTATACCCTTTATAATATTGGGAAAGTATTATCATTGGCGTGAACCAACACTATAATGAAATACAAATATCATAAATATATATAAATATATATATATTTCTCTATACAAATTACTCAATGAGAATTAAACTATAAATTTAATGTATATTTGTATTTGTTTTTACTGCGAAAATCGCTGCAAATTATGAGCGAAAATGATTTAATGCTATTTAGCTGGAGATGTGTGTAGCGAATGGTTCAACAAATATCAGTGTATTTCTCGTAGCGTTTAATGGATTGCCATAAAAATCTCGAGAGAGAGAGAGAGAGAGAGAGAGAGAGAGAGAGAGAGACTCATATCTCTTACGGAAAAATTCAATTTTATCATCAAAAAGGATTGTTTGGATACATATAAGCATTTTTATCGCGGTTTTCAGCCTCCCGTTCCCCTAACAAAAAGCCTGAATTACGTTAATCTCTGGTAATAAGAGTGTTGTGTTTAGGACTCAAAAGGAGTGAAACTATTTAAGCGTTTAAGAGGAGGAGGAGGAGAGAGGGGAAAGTTAGCACAAAAGGCAAACATTATATGTCAGGATCAGTGTCAGCCCCGGTATACCCATCACCACTGGCTTTAGACGTGTATTCACTGGCAGTCCATACGTTATGAAAAATCCTTTGAGTTTTAATCAACTCTCAAATGATTGTGTTATGCAATCGTACTGTTTGTGTAGTAGGGCTTGAATTACACTCATAAACACAGGGGTAGACCTCTTTTTTGCACAACCATTTGTTTTCAATACTTTTTCATTAACTAATTTTTATTACATGTGTTTACCGTACACTTTGGGTTTACCTTTGATTTATGATATGTGAGCTAGGATATTGTTTTCATAATCGCTTATTAATCACTAATTCTGTTTATAGATGTGTTTATTTATTTTATAAACAAGGTAATTTTGCAAACTTTAGTTATGTTAGATTTAATGGAAAATTTAAATTTAAATATTGATTTTTATATACAAGCATGCTAAATAATAATTTGTATTATACTACTATTAAATATGAGAAAGCTAATATTTAGCAAATTGGCGTTCACTTAACATTTCAAATAGCAAATGCTATATTGTATAAACATGGTAATTTACTAATTTATATGCATAATACTTAATTGTGTGAACAGTTACCCCTAAAACAAAAACAAATAAGACTTTACAATCGCATCAATAACTGTAAAACGACAACAATATTGAAGGATATGTATTATATTACAGGACTGGGCGATGGTTGGGGTACACTCCCGCCCACTCCCAACCCGCATGAGATGGCAATCAAAGAGCTGGGATCGCATTTACTTCAGGTAAGTCGTGACCCCTTCCCACCCATCAATCAGACAGTTGTCAAACAGTAAACGACACAAAATATTAGCAAATCTATGGAGAAATACGTGTAAATGAATAGCAAAATATCACTCAAAAAATGTCTCATAAATTATTAATGAAGCGACACTTTCGAGAGAGAGAGAGAGAGAGAGAGAGAGAGAGAGAGAGAATGTATTAAAACTTATTTTTCACATAAATATTCTGCACTTTCTTCTCGTAATATTCACTAATATTTTTCGCAATAAATATATATTTCACACAAAATTTATTCACAAAAATAAAACAAAAACTTTTGACAACTTTTTCTGTGCCATAAATTTCACACGAATTCATACACTAAATGACAAAATCATATCAAACAAAAAAAGTAACAAAAATACCTCAAAAATAAAAACTTACAAAAACACCTAATAATAGCACCTATTTTACATGTATGGGTGGACGGGTATGCTATAGACCCTGGACGGTTTCGTATTCGTGGTGGCACCGGACGGCAAAATCATGTACATATCGGAAACGGCGTCCGTGCACCTAGGACTATCACAAGTAGTGTATAACAGGCCCCCATATAACGATCACTAACCTCCTGGTGCCTCCCATAACACCTGACACTTACCGCCCCCTCGTAAATGAATAGGTGGAGCTGACGGGCAACAGTATATTCGAGTACATACACCCGGCCGACCACGACGAGATGACCTCGGTGCTCAATCTGTACCCCCCTTTCCAGGCACACACCCACTCATCAAATATGGCTCAAACCGACTTCGAGGTCGAGAAATCGTTTTTCTTACGGATGAAGTGTGTGTTGGCTAAGCGTAACGCCGGCCTCACCTCCGGTGGATATAAGGTAGGCCTACCCCCGACCCCCACTCTACCCACCGACTACTTACTTATCCATTAAAACACTCGAGAGTTTTGAGTTTAATTGTAGTGTTTTTTAGCTCTAATTAAATGTATGTTTTAGTGAATGTATAGTGAGTTTAAGCAAATATATGGGAGATTATAGTCACTTAATACACACACTTCACTAGGATTTACACTGAATCTAATTAAAGGGATTTACATCTAGTTATACACTAAAATACTATATTAATGGACAGGGATGTGTGTGTATTACATAACAACTCATAAATAGTGTATTAAACTCCTAAAACAAATTCCTAATGAAACAAATGGTATATTGTTGTTAATACACATGTATTAATGAAAATTAATGTTATTTATCTAGGTGATTCACTGCAGCGGCTATCTGAAAGTAAAACACTACAGTATGGATCAGTCGCCGTACGATATATGCTACCAGAACCTGGGGCTGGTAGCCGTGGGCCACTCCCTACCTCCCAGTGCAATCACCGAAATTAAGATGTATAGCAATATGTTCATGTTCAGGGCCAGTTTGGATCTCAAATTGATATTTTTGGACGCGAGGTATGCCATGATAATATTTAATACCATAATACTTTTAATACAGTACTACTATTACTACCACTCATAGAGTGTCTCATTTGACTGGCTATGAGCCGCAAGATTTGATTGAAAAAACTCTTTACCATTACATACATGGAAGTGATATCCAAAACATGAGATTTTCACATCAGACTCGTGAGTATATTGTATAATAAACTTTGGATATAAGATTTAATGTAGCATGGACACAAACATATGGACAATTAAATGCGGGCTATTTTATGATAATCTATATGTTTTTATTTTGAAAACCTACCAGTGCTGACCAAAGGTCAGGTGACGACTAAATACTACCGTTTTTTGTCCAAACCCTACGGCTGGGTGTGGATGCAATCGTACGCCACTATAGTCCACAATAGTAGGTCATCCCGGCCTCACTGTATAGTATCTGTGAATTATGTCTTAAGGTAGGAGTTCCCCTGACTTTACACATCAATTATACACACAAGCACCATGCTAATTTAATTATATCTATGGCTGTGTGCAGTGAAGCGGAAGTACGGGAATACCAGCTCCAGTTGGATCAGGTCGAGGGTCACTACAGTCGCGAGTCGTTAGCATACAGTTCCTCGAGCTCTGTCATCAGCCCAGACAACAACGGGTCGCCCAATGATAACAATATGAGTGCCACTAATCACCCGCCGAGTAGTAGTAGTAATAGTAATCATGTTTGCAATAAAATCACTAATAATAGCAGCAATAATAGCGGTAACAGTACTGCGAATAATACGACGGCGCCTACATCTAGATCAAGTGAGTACTATGTCATACACAGAATATTGGTATTAATAAACTAGCATACCGGCCCTATATAGACTAGCATTGTATTCCAGTGCCTCATTAGTGTCATTATAAGTGAAAATCATTGACAAAACCTTTTTCATTCAAAATCAATAAATAACATACATTTCCCTTTTCAACGCGTGTATAGACAAATCAAAGCCCACCAGAAATAAAAACAATAGGCGCTCCCCGTATACGACTACCACCACCACCACCCCCGCCGCCACATCCAGCAATACATCCAACGATAATACATTCACCACCGATGGCCACACCATTAGCACCGCCGATACCGGGGCTATAGTTCCCAACTTCAGTGAACTTAATGCTAATCAATGCATGAATTTCGGTGTCTATGACGAGAGGGCTAACCAGTGGACGGGCCTTAACCCACGATCCCTGAGCTATGCATTCAATTACGACAATAGTCTGTATTATTTCGGCGAACACGAGGACAGGTATAGGGCGACGGCGCCGGCACTCATCGCCCACGACATCACCGCATACCAGCCGTACTGTCCGCTGGAGACGGCTTTCCACGAGTCAAACCCGTCACCGGATAACGGCGCCCAAAACGGTCACATCCCAGCCCCGGAGGACAGTAGTGTCAGGGGCTATACGGAGGGCAACCTAAATGTGTTGCGAAACGGTAGCCCAGACGACGACATACAACGAATCAATCCATTGTTACCGTCGATGAGGAACGGGAAGAACATCTTCGCCGAAGTGCTGCTCCGGAATGTCTACTCAGACGCCGATAACAATAACAGTGCGGACATGCTGTCCACCACTACCGCCGGCACCGGTATCAACGGGAACGACACACTCATGCCGTACGGCAAACCCATAGCCATAGCCAGCGATATATCATCTAATTCTTCGTCGTCCTCATCAGACATCAGTGCAATCAATACGGATGCGAACGGAAAGGGATCTGTCATTAAGTACCTGTCGGACGGCACGGCCTACACGACCGCCGCTAGTCATCTGAAGTATTTCGCTGATCACAGCCCTCCCGGTGCCGCACAACAGCACCCGAACTCATCATTCCTGAGCCATAGTAGCGTAGGGCTGGAGGACAGGGAGGCATCGCTGGGCGCCGTGGGATCTCCCTATACGTCGGTGATAGTCGAGGCCCAACACTACCAGCCCTTCGCCAGCGGTTATGTTCAATGAGTGGTGTTTTTCACATCCATTTCCACTTTGTTTTCTCTTTCTATCCCTATCTCTATCTGTTATGACTATCTGTTTTCAACAACTTTTAGCAAATAATTAATTGATTTTCAAAATCCGATACAAAATCGCAGTGTTTTTGTTGACATTATATGAAATGCTAAGAATTTATTACATATTATGAGAAACGAATAGATTTTTATGAAACTGAACAGGGGACATTTATTATAAATATTAAGCTGTGTATATAGATTTGTATGAATGATAATATTAAGTCATATTATAAATATATCCGTATAAATATATATATGAAAATGCATTTTAGACACTCAATACAAATAGTTATCTAATTTTTAACTATGTTTACGATTACACTGATGACTAAAATGTACATTAAATGCTAGAAATTAATTGTGAAATTCTTATTGACCAAGATCATTGATTTTATATATATTTCCATTGAAAGGCACCAAAAAAGTTATGTTTGAGATATAAATGACTGAAATTATTTAAAATGATTTTTAGATTTAACTGAAAACAAAACCATTTGAATCTTTATATACATTATGAAAAGTCTGATTAAAAAAAGTATTTTTCAAGAAATTATAAAATTACTGAAATTTTTGACACATTTTTTTGTTGCCTATCAATACGAGAGAAAATACTAGTCTTATTAATAAATTAATAAATTAAATAATCAAATTATTTAAATAATTAAATAAATGAATCATTTTTTACATAAAGATTTTGCTATTTTTATTTTGTATGTGTTATACAAGCTGAGATATATAATCTAGGTATATATAGAATATAAATTATATAGTTAAGTATAGGCTGGATATAAGCAAATAATTAAAACAATTTTATAAAACAATGACATAAATTAAAAAGCATTTTATAATTAAGTAAATAATTATTTGTTTTATATACACATGAATAACAATTATAATAAGAGGCTTACAGTATAATAGGCAGCAATTGTTTGGTTACATAAAAATTATATCTCACATAAACTATAGTTGAGCTAAAAATATATAATATTTATCTAATTTATTCTCACAAATTATTTTAATGGTTAAAGTGAACGAAAAATTTTCCGAGAATTTTATATATATGATAGAAAAATAACATAAAGTTTTCACTCATTTAAAGTGTATATAGAGTTAGAAAAATTTTTTCGTTATAAATACATGTTGTGTGGAAATACAGTGCAATTCGTTGGCAGACCTGCCGTAACCTTAGTTACCCATCCATTTGATGACAAGCATAGAGAGAGAGAGAGAGAGAGAGAGAGAGAGAGCGAGAGCGAGAGAGAGAGAGAATATTTTCTGCCAAGTTTAACATTCATTCAATCATAAAGTTTTATATTTTATACTATAATAATAATAATAATAATCATATACTGTATTATAAATATGGATTCAATCTATGATATCATAATACATAATACATTATATAAGTTTATAATAGAATTTCTCAGTCTATTAAATGACTGCAATTTATTTAAATATAGTATAAAAATATATATAAAATCTTTATTATATAAAACTAAATGTCTTTTAAAGAAAAATGAAACGCTTTTCGTATAACATATAAATTAATTGTTTGTTTGAGTTATAGCTATATATTTGTTGAGCGGAAAGAAAATCGTTTTTTATTTTACTTTTTGTATTTGATTTGATTGAATGAATCGCTAGAAAAAAGTTCATCATTTTGTTTAGTATTAGATGTGAGCCATTAGTTTGGTGTACAGTATATATATATATAATATATTATCATATAATATTTCATTATGTGTTTTATTATATAACTGACACCTATTTCTAGCTACACACACACACAACCTACCAGTGCTGCCTTATGTCATGTTATTTGCTATTTCTCTATAACATCATAACGTGACTCCGAATAGATATCAAAGATTTAATTCGCTTCCTATAGATATATAAGTATATATACATTATATACACTATATATCTATAGTTTATATATATTGTTCACCAGAAAAAAAAACTATTACAAGAGTATGGCATCCCTTGAAGGGAAAGACCTATCCATTGATACATATTGTGTGTTATTTGGGTGACCGGTAGCTCATTATCTATTCGTTTGCATTCAACACTTATTTTTTTGTATGATTTGTATTGTATTTTCAATGGAAATTGATTGCATGTCGACTAACATTTGCACTTATTTTTTATGGGCACCTATTCATACACTTTATTATGTTTTAAATACAATAGATTTGTTGCAAATAAGTAAATATTGAATAAATAGGATATACATATTTTGGACAATTTTAACAATTTATGAATTAGTCATTTTACATGCTATATTAACTATCAATTAAGGTATGTTTACTTTTTAGCATCTAGACCAAATTAGTACTGCACACTCGGGTTTATAGAAAATAAATAGTTTATTATATAATATACAGTATATTAACAAAACGTAAAGTGTTTACAATTTATTTAAAGTACTGATAAACATTAAGAAAAACTTTACAAAATTGCTAAATTATAATAACTATATGAAATCACACTGTCTTATAGACTGTCCTGGGTAATGAATGCCGGGCTCGGGTGTGGGACCGGTATGTTTGCGATCAAATGCCTCTTTCAACTCGTAATAGCGACAAACACACGCTAAGGCTATAATACTGCCTACGATACAACAGATTAGTGCCAGCATACCGGTGACCGCGAGCACCGGTAGAATCCATGTTTCGCCAATATTTATGAACTATAATATGTACAAGGTATAAATTGGTTACGGCACTTGTGATTATGCTGTATATTAGTTACCATTATATAGTTATATTATTGTAAATATTTTAGTAGTATTTTCAGTGTATACTTAATGTAGTTTTCAAAATACTGGTGAATGTATAGACTTTTATGACAAATACTTTCAGTTATATACAGGTATTTGAAGATTTAAAAAAATAATTGGCTACTATGTAAGTGGTCTCGATACTAATATATTTTTCTAAATAACCTCGCTCACGAAACCATACAATTCATGTAATTATTTCAATAGTTTCAAACTACTCAATACATTTCACGTGCCATATTAACTATGAATTAAATAATATTTACTTTAGGATCTGGTTTAATTTAGTAATACAAAATTCCTATCAAATACAAGTTACTATTAATGTTGAATGAAAAGCAAAGTTTTTATTATTCATTCATACTATTGACAACTCTATTAAAAACTTTACAAATTGCTTGATTAAATAATTATGCGAATCAATGTTATTGCTTAGTTTGAACAGGATAATGAGTACCAGGCTCAGGTGGTGGATCTGGATGTCTGCGATTATTATCATCCTTGATAAATAAAAATAAATTAAACTATATACTCTGGGTAGTAATTAATAATTAAATTATCAACAAAATGCATACTAAACTTGTTATACAAAATATTTAGCACTAATATAACTCTTTAGTGTAAAATAGTGTTGAGTTTTATTTGTAATGTAAACTTCGAGTAGTTTTCAAAATACTGGTGAATGTATAGACTTTTATGATAAATACTTTCAGTTACTTATACACAGGTATTTGAAGATTTTAAAAAATCATTTAAACAATGAGTAAAAGTGTATACCTCTGTAAGTGATCTCGATACTCGTATATTTTTCTAAATAACCTCGCTCACTAACCATACAATTCATATAATTAGTTCAATAATTTTTTTGTCTACATTTAATGAATTTGCTATGCATACACTTTATTATCAAATACAATAGATTTTTTGTAAATTAGTAAATATTTTTTAAACACTTTTTACGCCATTTTAAAATTCATAAAATTAGTCATTTCATGTGCCATGAATTAAATAATATTTACTTTAGGATCTAGTTTATCTAGACATCTGGTAGTCCCTCATTATAAATAAACTGAATTTGAATTTGCACCTATTAGAAATACTAAATTCATATAAAATATAAGTCACTATTAATGTTGAATGAAAAGCAAAGTTTTTATTATTTATTTATAATATTGACAACTATTATAAACTATACAAATTGTTTGATTAAAAAATAATTATGTGAATCAGTGTTATTGCTTAGTTTGAACAGGGTAATGAGTACCAGGCTCGGGTGGTGGACCTGGATATCAACGATTATATTGAGCCTTGCTAAATTCATACCAACGACAGTACTGCCAAATACAGGTACAGATAATTAGCCCACAAATTAATATACCAAAACCGAAAAATATAAGCCAGGCCTCATACGAACTCTGATGCATTGTCTATAAAATAAATAAAATAATAAATATTATATCAAGATACAATTGTATACTAAACTTGTTACGCAAATATTTAGCACTACTATAACTCTAGAGTTCAAAATATTTAAGTTTTATTTGTAATGAAAAAAAACTGAAAGTAGTTTTCAAACTACAGGTAAATATAGACATTATGTGTGAAAAACACTTTCAGTTACAGGTATTTGTCGACAGATTTCTAATCGCTATAATTGTTTACACTGTAAGGGCTCGCGATTTCTAACCACTAGTCTCGAGACTCGTATGGATATATAAAATATACAGTATTTTTCTAACTAACCTCGCTCATTAACAATTAAACACAAACTAAACTCCAAAAAATCAATTACAAAAACCGTTGCCTAACAGCCAAACCCCTATCCATAGCCCTAATTATCATACAACAGCCCCCCATAAAGGTCGTGAGGAATGGTAGCCAACAAACGGATCGTCAAAGAGCTCCGGGACCTCATGCGGGACAACAACCTCTACGGGAACCAGTACTCCGTGGAACTGGTGGACGACTCCAACGAGCACCTGATCGGCACGATTCTGGGCGCACCGGACACATCCTTCCAGCGGGGGGTCTTCCGCATAGACATCACTATACCCGACAGATACCCGTTTGCACCGCCCGTCTGCCGATTCCTCACCAACATATGGCACCCGAACATCTCGTCGGTTACCGGTGCCGTATGTCTGGACATACTGAAGGACCAGTGGGCGGCCGCCATGACCATCGAGGGTGTGCTCAAGTCGTTGCAGTCATTCCTGTCCACACCGGAGCCCACCGACCCCCAGGACGCCGTGGTGGCCA